TATAGCAGACATTAACAATGCAATGCAAGTAGTAACAGCACAAAGAGACACAATCGGTCAGAATAGAAAGAGACATTCGTGACACTAAAATTATTCTCAACTTCAAGAAATCCCTTCAGTTCAGTTGATGCACTTCGCAGTATTTCCACTGGTGTTACTGCAGATAAGCATGTAAATGTGGATATATCATGTCAATTAGGTCAAAAGATCCTAGAACAAATGACAAATAAACATGTCCAAGAGTATGTCTTCAAAAAAGAAGGTCCAGGTTGTAACCTTGGATGCAAAGCAAATGATCAAATTAGATGGAGACAGAGTTAATATAGATTCCCACCTTTTGGTTCAAAGATTAATTACTGTCGCAGAAGGAACTATGGATCATCTCTCTTCAAGTATGAGTTGTGCACTAGTCCACCTTTGAATCATCGGGTCTAACAAACCAGTGTTGGTAGATGCTATCTGTAAACAGCTTAGCGATTTAGAAAGTTCTGAAGTTGGTGGACCAGTACAATTTTTTCTTTATGGTGGTTCATTACTGCAACGCGTTCCTTGGAAGTGTTGTATGTCTTATACTCAAATATGTGATGTATATGTGAGATATACAAAGCATAAATATGGGAAGGCAATTATTGTCTTTGATGGTTATGAGGATGGTCCTACCACAAAAGACACTACTCATCAAAGACAAACTGGGGGCTGGTCTGGTACTGTAGTTAAATTTACAGAGAGCATGATTCTTACTGTCAAGAAGGAATTATTTCTTGCTAATAAATAAAACAAGCAAAGATTTATCAACATGCTAGGTGAAAAACTGCAATTAGCTGGATGTGACGTACATCATGCAAAAGGTGATGCTGATTTATTAATAGCAATAATATCAGCTGAGAATATGGACACTGTCCTAGTAGGGGGGGATACAGATCTTCTGGTTCATTTGTTGTACCATGCAAATATTAATGCCCACAAGATCTATTTTAGATCTGAACACAAACAAACTACTTCACGTAACAAGTTAAAAATATGGGACATAAATTTAGTTAAATGTGCACTAGGTGCTGCTGTGTGTGACAACCTTTTGTTCATTCATGTTATATACTAGAATGTGACACAACATCTAGTCTGTTTGGAATTGGTAAAGGTGCGTCACTCAAAGCTTTTCAAAGCAGTGATTTTTTTAGGCAACAGGCTAATATTTTTTACAAAACATGGCTCATCAAAGGATGAAATTCAATATGCTTGGGAAAAAAGCGCTGGTCTGTATATATAAAGGGCAGCAAGGAGATGCCTTTGATACACTAAGATATAGCATATTTGCAAAAAGGTATCAACCAGTGTGTTTTTTGTAAAGCCACGTACATTACCCCCAACTTCGGCTGCTGCTAAATACCACAGCCTACGTGTATATTACCAAGTACAACAATGGAGAGGTTTGGACATGCAAATGCATCCAAGAAACTGGGGATGGAGTGTGCACAATATCAAATGACGCCAACATGCACGGATTTGCCATATGCACCAGAATCTCTGTTGAACGTTATAAGATTGTCGCATACGACTTGTTTACCACTTCCGTGTGACTGAGAATGTTCTAGAACCGTACTGTGTCTGGGTGGAATTTTTAGAAGTTGGTTGAATAGGTAATAGGACACTGTAGGAAGCAATAGAAGGTAATGGAACATTCTAAAAATTTGTAGTAAGTTCCAGACTCATTATGTATGCTGATGTAATGGTCTATTTATAGACAGTGTGGGTATATATAGGGGAGTTGTTCAGCACTGAGATCAGATCGGAGATCTAGTTGAATTGTATTAGTTATTGGAGTAGTGGAGTTTTACCGCGTTATTGTACTTGATGTTTGCAGAGTATAATAATACCAGTACCAGTTGAAACCTCATCTGTTGGCTCCGTGTTCGTATTTTATCATCGCCGCCAGGGAAGTCTTTCTGTTACTGTTGCCATTTTGGTATTTGAACCATCACACCTGTACTATACCAATTACGGTAATATTACGTTGCGTGTGACAAAGATGTAACTGTAAAACAGACTGTAATAGTATGTGATGTAGCTGTAGAAAACATAGCCTTGCATGTTCTCCAGCATGTAGTGTATGCCATGGCTACAACTGTGATAATTCAGTAGAAAGTGATCCAAATGACCTTACTTTCGAATAAAATTTGTATTGAAATTTGTGCAGTTTATGTACATGTCCACGAATAAATCTCTCTATTTACATGTTAAAAAACTAAAGTTCGTGATTCTTTTACTCACATTTACATTCATTACATTATAACAAAAGTCATACTGAGAGAAAAATGATTACAGAAAAACGATAGTTGTCTTTTGACTAAAAAATCAAGTTTTTTGGTACAAAAATCCACATTTTTAGTTCAAATTTGTCTCTGTTAACATAGTAGACAAACACAAACATGTATTTGTATTGCAGTTGCCTTCAATACCAATAAAATTACATAAACAATGTATAAAATTTACTGAAAACAATGGAAATATCATCATATCACTTACTGTAAAAAATTACAAAAAAATACCTGTTTTTAGTGATTTTTGAGGTCGATTTTACACCTTTTCCACTCCCTGGATTTTATGGGACATTTAGTATTTCTTATAGGAGGTCAACTACAACATTTCCCACCATGTTTTGTTTTTATTGCAATTTGTAGTGGGTCAGGCCTAAAATAGCAGTATATTGACTGGACTATTAATTGCGTTGCCAAATGTTATTCCCAACTTGTACTTGCTCCCTAAATATCAACAATGTTTGACTATGTTTCAATTACAAGTCATAATAAATCAACATATTACCAGGATAGATTTAGATGCATTAGGAGTTAACGAAACATCAATGAGATCCAATCATGAATAAACATGATTTCCTAGCCATTATACATACATACCTGTAATCCAAAACAAACCAACACGATGACCGGGCATAGTTCCGAAGATGTGTCTCTCGCCCTGATTTTTTATGAACTATTTGCACAAACTAAACCTGATGATAAACTAATGTGAACACTTCGATAAAGACTTTCCGTGTTTGACTTTGTGAAATTCTTTGGTTTTTATGCAGAAAATACAGTATTTTTACCAAGTAAAATCATATTTATTAAGTTATTGTTCATACATGAGTTGTTGAACACACTACATAGTTTGTAATTTTATTCAGCTTCTTTCAGTCACAGTTCAAGCCAAATAAAAAGCGAAAATGTAGAGAATATAGCAAAATATCTTTTCTCAGTATTATTCTTGTGTAATTCGTAATTATGAAAATTAGTTATGGGTGCATGGGGAATACATTTCGTTATGAATTATTTTTAAGGTAGAAGCCTAGTCATAATTTTTGACAAAATTGGTCATAAATCGTATGACAATGTTCATTAGTTTAACATGAACAATCATGGAACTAGTGTCCCATGGTACAATGAAATAGCATTATTTTGTGTGTTACAGTTATGCTTTTTGAGAAACGTGTCCTAATATTTCCTGAAAATTGCTATTTTTAGAACAATTCCATAGAACACAATGTCACAAAAAAAATCATTTTTTGACACTTTTTCAAAACCCAGATTTTTTAATAATTCAGAACAACAAAAAGTATTCCATCATTAACAATATAATAATTCAGAACAAGAAAAAGTTCTCCATCATTAACAATATATGATTTTTTGTCACCAGGCTAGATTTCCAGATATCTCTGCCATAGGAACCTGTGGTAAAAGTGTTATAATAGTGTCAAAATGGCGACTTTCCACTAAAATACAACCATCAATTTCTCGAAAAAAAGGCTGGTGACCCCCAACTTTTTTTGGGTCAATATCCTTATATTGCCTTCAGGGGCGGATCTGGGATTCTGGAATAGGGGGCCGATAAGTTGGCCGAAGGCCAAGTTCGCGAGCGCTGATGGCGCGAAGCCTTGCTTGTTGTTAAAAAAAAGGGCCGCGGCCCCTCGTCCCCTCTCTAAATCCACCCATGCCCTTGGAGTACAATATATTGCAAAATTAATAAATTCTGTGGTTTTTTTTCAATTTATGAGTAGGCTTCTACCTTAATATAAATTTCTGAATTATCTTACCAAAATCATTTTTTCGCGGTCTTTTCTCTCCAAAAACAAAAGAATTTTACAATGTCGAAAACCGAAAGTCTTTATCGCAGTGTTCGTGAAGTATACAAATGCCTAAGCAAGATTTGCTGACCGATGTATCCACCCACGTTCATTATGAAGAAGGAGCCTTTTTTCCCAAGTATCACTCCGTGAAAAAAATAAAGGGTAATTTTCCAGAATTCTTTGTTTTCAAATCCCAGGTTAAGTGTTCAGAACCTGAGTAGTGGAATTGTTATGTCTTCTTATAGTTATAAACTCTTGAAGATATAAAGATTATGCTTCATACTCTTTGACCCCTAGGATTTTCATCCCATTCCCCAGATTTAATATAAATAGGGGTGTTCTTTCACAATTTGATGTGAAGCTACTTACAAGATTATGCCTTATTGGCTACTCAGAGAACAGATTTGTTTTTGGCAAGTTATTTTCGACGTATCCAATCATCGTTTGTATATATGCTTCGATTCAAATAACATATATACAGAATATAACACAGTGCTCGTTACTGTAATAACAAGAGTGTTTTTAGTGTATAGGTTTCTACCTTCTCTCTATATGTAATTAAAACACATAGTGATGACACAGAATTATAACATTACATTTCGGTGGAGATGTAATTTATAATTACTAGTATGTTGTGCACTATAAGCTATGTCTGACTCTGTGCGCACTGCATTGCGAAAGCTGTAACTAAAATCATTCACACCGCGCGTGCGTATACACCATAATATTCAGTTGTCATCCATTAACGACATGTAACAGCCTCGCCACATAATCGCTCGTACACACGTCTACGACTCACTGACCAATCGTGACGTGTGGATGTAATTTTACAAATATCGAAATTTTGTGGCCACAAAAGGAATATATATTTAAGTTGAACATGGAAACGGACGACTTTATGTCGATGAGCGATGATATGTACTACACGTGTTTGTGCACGCCGTTGTTGTGTTTTCTGCCAGAGAACTTCACTTTCAACAGCACCTACTTTAGTTCAGATGGTGAATACTCCGACTCGGATTATTCAATTGACGATAGTTTTTGCCACGTTGATGACGACGCGATAAACTTGGCTGGAAGGATAACATTGATATTAACCTACGCATTGACTGTGACGTTGACGATCATCGGAAACACCATGGTCATTGTGGTACTATTATGTGGGTCCAGAACCATGTCCGAATTAAACAAATTCATCGTTAATTTAGCAGTGGGAGACATGGCAATGGGCATATTCTGTATGCCATTTACGTTTATTCACGGGATGTTACGGAAGTGGATTTTTGGCGAAGCCATGTGTCCGTTGATCCTCTTCCTGCAACAGGTTAGCCTTATTATTGTCATCCATTGTTGGGAGAACGCTTTGCTTTCTCTCCGACAAAATTTAAAACATTTTACGTATACACATTACCCATGCATATCTAATTTACACTTTGACTTCATGCTCAGTGTAGATATCGTATCAAGTTATTGAATTAGTTAGTATGTATTAGCGCGTTCGTTTAGTACATATTCAGCGAGCGCATTACTGTAAATAAAATCCATCGAATATACCTTTTTTCCTATATTTTACATTCAAATTATTCCGTACAAAACATCCAAAAGAGTCTTTTCAGCGAAAATTAATTCCAGCTAAAATAAAGTATTTTACATTACTTTGGCAAAATTAAATTATTGCATCTGTAACGAGATTTCTCAGAAAAAAACGCCAAAATCAGAAATATATTTCCTCGTTCTCGTTAACTATACTGATATATTCCAATTTCCGGCACATGCATTTAAACGTGTTCACAATAAACAAGAACACTAATAAAGAGGCAAGTAGTTGGATTCAAGCTGTACACAGGAATCAATAATCACAGAGTCGTGATTTATAAAGAACATCACTTATCATGTGACAGTTTTTAATTCAATGTATCTATCAGGGGTAAATTCTTCTCCTCGGGGTTCTCCACACTTGTCAGGGGGGAAACTCGTCTCGTCTCTCTATCTCGTCCCCTTGAGGTACGGGATCGGGAAAGTCACTTATACTTTACAGTCAAATAAGACACACACAACGAAATACGTTTCAGCTCTCATCTTAGTCGGTCAATCAGCACTCTATAAGACACAGCGCCCTGGCGAAAAATCCCCAGGACTATCGCAAGGCTGACCCAAGACTCGCCCAAGACTGCGTCAAGGCTCGCTCCAAGTCTCTCCAGGACTGCGTCTGTTCTGGTGTACTCCTCAAGACCAACTCAAACTCTCTTTATTCATTTTCAAAACTCTAACCAATTACAAAACAGTAAAAAGACTCTAGGGCGTAACCTTCAATCATAAAGCCAATCACACTAAGTACTGAGTACGTCATATCTTTTGATTAATCGTTCACTACATTAATAACTACGAATACCAACTGTCAGAATTAATAGTCAGAATAGCGACGGTTATCTCGTAATTAGTTCCAAATCACTGAGCCAAGTTCCGTCCAAAACTTCAAATAGGCCTAAACGATGACAGACATAACACAGCAATTCGCTAATAGACAGCTAATTAAGTCGGTCAACAGATACGCGAAAACTTGACATATGACATATCTCGTACATATCTTAGCGTTGCAAGGCATGTCAATTTCGTAAATTATTTACGAAACTGTGTGTCAGCTGCAGTTAGTATCAGACCGTTTCTTGAAATTTGTATTATATTTCGATGTACATTTATGTTGTCAAATAAGTATACCTCTGTTAACTATCACATCAAATGTGGAAATAAAAATATTCGAACGTTTATCTTTTCAAAACAACAATTGACAACTCACAAGTACACTACACTACATAGTTTAAATTTTATTTTGCATTTTAAAACATCGATGCTTAATTTATTCATATATATATATAGGTTTAGAGCGATTTTATAAAAAAAAACATATTTATTAATTACAAGTTCAAAACAAAATGCCAGTCGATGTTTTTTGGCATGAATATCGCAGATCTTTTTCAGAAAACAGAACTCATATTCAGTCAACCAGGTAATTTCAGTATTAAATATGTTTGTTAGGTAAACAAGACAGTGTATGACTCTAATAACGTGTACATGACAGTAAATTATACTGCTTTGGTGATGATGAGTAAGCTGACGATATCCAACATCACTGTCTGATCTATTTACTTCATGACGCTGGTTGCAGCATTAAATATTATTTTCTTCTCAATGTGTGTCGTAAAGCCTACACAACATTGTGTTGTTTGATTTTAACAATGTAATTCAAGTGGTTTCACAAAACTTACTTTTGACATAAATTCGCCAGTTGGATGAGTAGGACCTAATTCTTAAAACCCAAACGCTTTTGTTTTGGTTTAGGAGCGATACTTTCACCCGAATGTTATTAACAGTACTTATTAAGATACTTGCATTTTTCATGTATCAATACATTGTCTGTTATGTTACACAGATCTCATTTAAAGCAAAATGTCTTTATAATTACTAGTATTTGATCAAGCCTAGCTGACTCTTTATGTAATACAATGATACATATAAATTGATGTTGCATTAATGTGTGTGTTTGTTTGCCGCTAACCCGAAGTTCGTGTGAATAAACAATGTATTTTACATGCACTGTGTACGTCACTATGAGTCCCATATCGAACAGGACGCGGCGTGACGACCACCACCCCCTACTGAAATGTATGAATATATTTACCACGGCCCAATTTAACCATGGATATGAACAAATCTTTGAGTGTATTTGTGATGATAAATACATTATTAAAATATAGCTGCATAGCAGCGATGACGGGTTTCGAGCCTGCATGACTCATGGCAAATTGCACTTGCTTGATGTGATTATTTGACGAACGTTTCATGTCTAAAATGCAATGTTCTTAACAAGTCCTCTGGTATTTTGCTATTATGAACCACACTGGAATTAACAGACATAACCATTTATAGTCATCTGTCTAATGTCTGGCAAATTGTTCATGAGTTATAGCGTAATTTCACTTTTTACTAAATCCAAGATGGCTGCCAAAAGAAGCCATTTTTCAAAAATCTGCTTCAAAAACTTTGTAGAGCTATCAACATAGGTGCTATATTCTAAACTGATTGTCAAACAAGCAAGCAATTTTTAAGAAGATATTTTTTTGAGGTTTTTTGCATTTTTGTGATAAATTCAAGATGGTCGCCAAAACCACTTGAATCATGGGAAATATTTTTATGAACACATAATCATCTTATTGAAGGGATGTTGTATGCCAACTATGGTGTCAATCTGGCAAATTGTTCATGACTTATAGCGTAATTTCACTTTTTACTAAATCCAAGATGGCTGCCAAAGGAAGTCATTTTTCAAAAATCTGCTTCAGTAACTTTGTAGAGCTATCAACAGAGATACTATATACTGAATTGCTTTTCAAACAAGCAAGCAGTTTTTAACAAGAAAATGTTTTGAGGTTTTTTGCATTTTTTGTGATAAATCCAACATGGCCGCCAAAACCACTTGAATCATGGGAAATATTTTCATGAACACATAATCATTTTATTGAGCGAATGTTGTATGCCAAGTTTCATTTAAATCTGGCAAATTGTTCATAAGTTATAGCGTAGTTTCACTTTTTACTAAATCCAAGATGGCTGCCAAAGGAAGCCATTTTTCAAAAATCTGCTTCAGTAACTTTGTAGAGCTATCAAAAGAGATACTATATGCTAAATTGATTGTCAAACAAGCAAGCAGTTTTTAAGAGGATAATTTTTTGAGGTGTATTGCATTTTTTTGATAAATTCAAGATGGCCGCCAAAACCACTTGAATCATGGGAAATATTTTTATGAACACATAATCATCTTACCGAAGGGATGTTGTATGCCAACTTTGGTGTCAATCTGGCAAATTGTTCATGAGTTATAGCGTACTTTCACTTTTTACTTAATCCAAGATGGCTGCCAAAGGAAGCCATTTTTCAAAAATCTGCTCCAGTAACTTTGTAAAGCTATGGTCATAGATGCTGCAAAGCAAATTTCTAATCACACGAGTGAGCCATTTTTAAAAAGAAGATTTTAAAAGTTTTTTGTCAATTTTCAGAAAATCCAATATGGCGGCCAAGGTCACATGACCGCTAAATATTTTGTTGCCGATATTTGCTAGACATGAGCCAATGATGCCACACACAAAAACCGGAAGTTCCTAGATCCTCAGAAAGATCGCATTGGATTGTGGGAAAATAAATAGTTATCAACACAAATGTCGCACATGCGCAGCGCGACGACTGCCGCCCTTTAAACAAGTGTGACAGCCTATAAACTATTTAGTTACATATATTATGCATGTAGCAATACATATAAATAACAATTCAATTTGGGATTACATAACATACCATGGACTTGAAGCCATCTTGATTTTTTGCCATATTACTTTATCTTAGACGTGAATAGTATGCCCCTTAATTGCAATGGGGACTGTGTCATTTAACAATGACTTGTAATGTAGATAGATCAGAAGTAAATGTCAAGGTATTCTATTATACAAGATTATACTAAATTACCTCAATATTTCAACATCTGTGTCAGATAAAAAACATCGACCACTGTGAGGTACCATGGATACATCATATACTGATACGTCCGTAGTTTATATGAAGTGACTGTGAAAGGTGATTTAGAACCCAGGGGACATAAAAGTAATGGTAGTTTAGTAACCATGTGGTTTGTAAGTGTCAAGTCTGATGTACTTCTAAGTATGCCGTACTGCATGTTGTCACATTAACTCTCAAAATAGTTTATACAAGAAACGCGTAATTATTTGCATTTAATTTACAAGTATAAATTGCTATCGATTAAAACATAGACTTGAACGCCCCAAGGATAAATAGACACCAAAACACGTGTTCAGAATGCAAATTGCAAAATAAACATTGAAGAAGAAATGATGTTTCTTTTAGCGTAAAGGGATGTTTAATTACCTTCACCAAAAAGGCGAACATCATTTTCAAGGTTGGGAACCTAATTTGTACTCCATAGGCCCTAGGGAATTCTTACTTAGGTGCCTGAATAAAGAATATGCACATTGTTTTTATGTATCCTGGTATTAATTTGTTTTTGTATGTGTCTATTCTGTTTTTATGTATGTATGTATGTACGTATGTCTACCTATCTTTCCCTCACAACAGGGACGATTGGTTGTTATAGAAACGTTAATTTTGGGAATGATTGCTTATTTATAATACAGAAAGTTAAGGTTGGATGCTCAGATGAATGAACACAAATCACTTATATTTTAGTAGAAATGTGAATCCGATTGTGACAGATTCAGTAATTTTGGGAATGTTTTTTCATGTATAATTTGTAATTTTCTTGTATAATTTGTTATTTTTTATTAATTTTCTGTATCCTGGTAGCATAAATATATAAAGACTGCATATAATATTATGTTCGGCCGAGCCTCATTAACTTTACGAAGCGACATAATATGGAGTAACACATGTTACTTATGTAATCGTTTATTTTAAACTATTTCACAATATGAGTGAGAATATCCATTACATTGATAATCACGTATTGTTGTGATTTCAACATCCAAGAAGACAAATTACTGATTGTCCAATCTACCGCCAAAAAATGACCCAATTTATCTGATATTCACTCATGTGGCAGACCAAATTAGCAGAAAAGTGGCTGCTGTCAAATACAGTTTTAAACAGATAATAATTTATAATCTTGTAAATATGCTGTTTTCCTATTTTTTTTTTATTATTCGGGTATTCGGGCAAAAAAAATGAGTACAAAAAAACACCAATTATCATTGTTAATGATAGATACGCCACAGAATTTCTACAGCCGCAAGTACCGTTATTCCCAATAAACTCTCAAATAAGCCTTGTTGAAATTATCGCAACCTACCTGTAGATTTCGTGTAATAGTAGGAAATTACAGATGGTTCCGGATTTTGAAAATGCACACGGCTTGTTTATGATCTACGTTATAGTCAACGTACCAATGCCCTTATCGGCAAATATATAGAAATAGCCTGCCATCAGTATTCATGGACACGATTCTTCCTAACAAGTTTGAATGAGATGAAATGTATGGAATAATAAACATCAAATCGTATTCAGGTATGGAGGGGTTGCTTTTTCCGGGCTTTAGTGTTTTAAATTGACAAGCCAAACATCTTATATGGTGTTATAGCGGGTAACTAAACATAAATCAAGATGTAATAATTACAAATACTATACGTGTAAACATGCCAACGTCGTCATACAAGTGGAATGAACTTTACAATTCTACCTCTGGGGTGAATACATATATCATAACTATTGTTTTTGCCATCAATACACGGTTTCCCTCATACGTTGTATTACACTTTGACTGATTATATATTTTATATCAGAATAACACAATGTTACAATTATGTGGTTGGAACAATGACAATGAGTTGTTGATAACATTTTGGGACGTTTATTATTTTGTCCCTAAAAACGTTTTATATATCACACGATATTTTACATGTATTAACATTCTTGTTGCGCAAAGTTTGAAATACTGTTACAAATATTGACAACCAATTTAGTTTTCTATGATAAAATTACATAGAACGGTCTTTGCGAATTAAAATGTTACTTTATGTAAATATATCCAATTTAAGTATATCTTATACGATTTGTGTCAAAGGCAATAATTTTAACAACTCTTTCAATGTTCATTGTGTAATATTCATATAATAATTGCAAATTAATGCAATTTCTGTTCCAGGTTTCTGTCGGAGTAAGCATATATACGCTAACGGCTATTGGTATTAACCGCTATCAAGCAGTAACTAACCCCATAAAGGCGAAAGTGTCGACGTCAAGAACCAAGTTTATCATACTGGGCATCTGGGTGTTATCACTTATCATATCGATAGAACCGCTGATCAATGCGAGGGCCGTGCTGAAAGAATCCCGTAATGGTGACTGGTACTACCAATGCGATGAACATTGGTCACATCACAGCACCTCCATCGTGTATGAAGTGTGTATGTTTCTATTTGTATTCGCAGTGCCACTAGGTGTACTAGGGTGGACGTACACCAAAACGGCGGTTATTATCTGGAAACGATCGTTGCCAGGCAACGCCCATAGTAACAGGGATGCGGCACATCTCACCGCAAAGAAAAAGGTTAGTATATATAATTCTTTTTCGAAGTTATAGAAAAATGTGGTAAATATGGCGGAGCAAATGTTGCATCTGTTACCTTTTCTGTTGTAGATATTGAAGATGTTGATCGTAATTGTTATCGCATTCGCTGTCTGCTGGCTGCCATTGAATATATTCAACATCATTATAACTATTGACCAACGATATTTAAAACATTCGAAATACTACAAGATGGTCATCGGTGTCTACCTCACCTGTCATTGGTTGGCGATGGCAAACAGTTTCCTGAATCCCTTCGTATATACGTTTTTGAACGACACATTCAGGGTAAGATAATATTTTACATCAATAATGCATATTCTTTAAAACATGGTCGCATTTTTTTCTTAACGACTCGGAGCAGCAACTATCATAACACAACACAATCATTATCACTTATCAATCATGCGACGTGATTGGCTAATCTGCGGTAAGGGGGTGGATAGTGCGCATGTTATGGAAACTTACAAACTGCATGTAACATTATCATATGCGCAAGCGTGATGTAACATTTCGTAAAATATGTTGTCCGCATCCACCGACGAGAAAATCCTATAAAGTACCCATTATGCTTCAGTGTGTAGTATGGTAAATGTACATTTAGAATAATTAGGTATGACGTGATACTAATATAAAACACCTAATTATTGCCGGACAACAGCATATCACGTCTTCAAATCGGTCGCATATTCTTTTTTCCCATATCATAGCACCATGGGGAAACATAACTCTGACTGACGTTGCCCGCATGGCAAATCAATAGGTGTACCTCGCAACACTTTGTTGTTTGTTATTGAGATGAATACAAACCAAAATCACCATTCTTTTAATTCTCATATATCAGCAGTGCCAGTTGGATGCTGTATAGTCCTGATATGCAGTCGCGTTTTATTGCCTAAAATCACGGAAGTGAACCTCGCCTGCCAGACATCAATTAGATTGTAATGTGCCATAGCAAATACATCATCCGATGACCTCTGACAGGCGACCTGGTTTAAATGCAAGGTATTGCGCGAGTCTATTTGAGAGGTTTTTAAGTGATTTCTGCATCAGCCAATCCATTTGTCATCTGTGTCCATAATATGAATGAGCCGCACTGATATATACAGTAGCGCTAATGTATAATCCTTTATCATAGCGAATAGATCTTGTAAACACGCATAGGTTTGGATGGTTGTGAAAATCTTCATTTCTATTAAATAGTATTGCATGGACACACATGGGTTACCGACCCTCGTTTTTTATGTTACTGTACGTAGTACAATACAAGCTCTGTGAGAAAAAAAGTAAGCATTGCCATTTATTTTGAAACTGTGGATAATAAAAGGCCTTTTAAAAATGGTATTCAAATTTTGGTATTTTGCGCTACATTAATATATTCGCGATATAACATTTCTACACGCTTTGTGACGTAGAAACTGCAACTAACATACAGAGGTATGTTCAAATGTTTGCTGGACATATTGAGATTTTGGTGGAGTTATACTCGACACATATGATGAAAAAATATGTCCTGAGAAAATCTACCATTTTGACATATAAAACGCAGTTTCTCCAAATAGACATATGCTTGCACTCATATTGTCTTATATTCGAACTGGCGTGGTTTGTTCCCATCGTGCACACATTGTAAACGTGAAACTATATCAAACATCCTTTAAGTCATTTTGTACAGCAGTCCTACCCACCGTGAAAATAGAACATATCGCATATTGGTTTCATTTAAAGTCTGCGCACGTTCGCAGAGAAATGACCTGCGTCAAAATGTTGACACGATGTTTGTGAAGTCACCCGAATATACAGCGACTCGACACAACACTGGGAGTATTGAGAATAATCTCTTTAATCTGAATTCAATAACGCATATGTTGTGATAGGTATGTTGCATCTATACACAATACACAGAAATAATTAATTAATTGTTGTGTTATAGATATTCCGGTACATTCTGTGTAATAGCATATACGTATCTTCCGATTTGGACTTGTTATCTATGATAACTTTAATTTTCGATTCACAGCGCGATTGTAAACTTGATAAGCTCAGGGAGCTCAGTGACACGCTTCCTAAGCCGATAAAAGCCGCCACGGTTTGTGTTATTGTCGTCAATTGTAAGAACATCGTGCGTTGACTGCATATACGCGGCCGGCATACTTCTGTATTATTGGCATTTGACATTTGCGAAATGCCGAAATATTTGAACTAGGAAGTAGATTTGGAATCCTCCATAGAAAATAACATATTATACTATATGTTCAACGATTTATTGAATGAAATGTATGAAAAAAAATTTCAAAATATCTTTAGATCCCACTAGTAACACTTTTTTGTACGAAATTATTGTGTATCATTCGGTGCTAATACTGAATGATGAATAATCCCAATGGTAACGAGTTGGATAAGAATTCAACATATGTACATGTATTGTGAAAGATCAATAGTGGTATCTAAACAAAACCAGTGTGCATCATTATTTCTGTAAGTGGTTGCCTTAGAAACAAGAAAGATGCAGAAATCTGAAATCGCTATCCTTGCGTGAACACGTTGACATTTACTGATATACTAGTATACAGATTTTCTGAGGCGATCTTGATCCGGGGTATTGACAATCCCATGAGAGCTAATTACAATCCATTGTTATTTTCAACATTATTTTACTCGTGTCGTGTCAACTCAAATAAGAAAGTACTTGCTTATGTAATGTTTGGTACTTAAGATCAGATTTAATATTATTATTATTATTATTTAATATTACTTATATACGAAGTTTCCTTTCAATCGGACTCTTCATTTTTTAAGGAATATTTGAACAGTACATGACATGTTTTGACGAAAGTTCTAGTCTGCTAACCAACCAATTCCCGGGCGGACACTCCTCCCTGATAGTGGAGTGCTTCGCCGGAACATTCACCTTGAAAATTCAAGATGCGTCTTAGCAGCGTGGAACATCTTGTGCATTGTCGTGCTTTAGATAGTAATTTTTGTAAAATTTGTGTGTTTTTGCAGTTAGTTTAACCATTTTAATTCCTTCAGAGGAATTTTAAGGGTTACAATAAACCGAGGATACAATTCATTTCTAAGCGTAGTACATAATTCAATGATGTTTCGGGTTTCAATTATCAGTTGACAGGTGTGTTTGTAGCAGTTATCTTATTTATTATTCAATGCTGCTCCAAGGAATAAGAGGATTTTATAAAAGGGTTCAATGCCATGCGTGTTATAGATGTCATATTATATGCTAGTATATCTGCGAACGATCGCCAACAGTTACGTTAATATGTGCATAAAAGAAGGCACTTATGTTAAAGCGGGAGGGTCGTCACATGCGCACGCGCGGGAATTGAGCCCCAAGCGACGATAACAATACACGCTAAAAAAGCAAAGGCTCATGGGTAGACGCTTGTTTGTAAACAATGGCCATCTGACGCATGCGCAGGTGACGACTCCCCACTTTAAGAATATCCTTAACAAACAAATCTTCAAACAACAAGCCATGCATGACACAGTTCCCGTTAGTTATCAAATTTAAGATATATAGTTTTGTTTATAGTAATATAGCTGGAATATAACTATGTCAGGAATATGATTTTTTTAACATTAAAATGATTGACATTTGTATCTGATCGTCAAACAAGTACTTGTCCATATTGAGAGATATTGCTCTGGAACAGCATTTAAAATCAGCCATTTTGAATACATGTATATATAACATAATATATAACGAATATATAAAATTTGAATATAATCAGTCAAAGCATTTAAGAGACATGGGTCTAGAAGCCCAATCATTAAAACAAAATGGCCGCCAGTCAGCCATTTTGTATCCAATCTGAAAAATAAAATGACGTGCATCAGGAACCCGTAATGACTAATGTATGTACCAAGTTTGAACGAAATCCATCCATAAATTCCAGAAATGCTTGATATTTGATGATTTTTTTAGCAAAAAATGACCACCATTCGGCCATTTTGAATAGGATCGTCAAACCAATATATCCGTTTATCTATGACATGATGTATAATGAATATTTAAAATTTGAATATAATCAGTCAAAACAAGTCGGAGAAGCCCATTCATTAACACAAAATGGCCGCCAGACAGTCATTTTGAATCCGATCTTTAAAATAAATGACGTGCATCAGGAACCTGTAATTTCTAATATATGTACCAAGTTTGAACGAAATCCATCCATAAATGCCAGATATGCTTGATATTTGATTATTTCTTAGCACAAAAACGGCCACCATTTGGCCATTTTGAATAGGATCGTCAAACCAATATATCTGTCTATCTATGACATAATGTATAATGAATATTTAAAATTTGAATATAATCAGTCAAAACAAATCGGAGATATGGGTCTAAAAGCCCATTCATTAAAACAAAATGGCCACCAGACAGCCATTTTGAATCCGATCTTAAAAATAAATAATGTGCATCAGGAACCTGTAATGTCTAATATATGTACCAAGTTTGAACAAAATCCATCAATAAATGCCAGAAATACTTGATATTTGATGATTTCTTAGCACAAAAATGGCCATCATTTGGCCATTTTGAATAGAATCGTCAAACCAATATATCTGTCTTTCTATGACATGATGTATAATGAATATTTAAAATTTGAACATAATCAGTGAAAGCAAGTCAGAGATATGGCACGAAAACCCCATAATTAAAATCTTATCTGAAAAACAAAATTATTTGCATCAAGATCCCATAATGTCTAATGTATGTACCAAGTTCGAACAAAATTCATCTGTAAACAGCCGAGAAATGCTTGATTTTGATGATTTTTAGCACAAAAATGGCCGCCATTCGGCCATCTTGATACAGGTCCGGACGCACGCACGCACGCACGCGTGTATGCACGGACACACGCACGCACGGACACACGGAGGTCAACACACAAGTCCCCGTTTTCGGACTGCGTCCGAACGGAGACTAACAAACTTAACACTGCAATCATTCGACATGCAATCTAAACTGCAATGGTCTTAAATAACTTCGATCTAATAGTTTCTTACAGCACGTAGATGCACCAGTAACGTTTGTGAAATAAAAAAAATGTTCGTAAGTAGTTGATTATTTTATTTTATTTTTGTATTTTAGGGAGACCTAAAACGTCTTATCAAACGTATTAGACACAACGACGCATCCTTGGTTCATAGAAGAAGATTCGGGTTTTCCGTCTCATCTAATGATGGACCAAGTCGTTCATTGCGGAGTACACTGACAACGACAGTGTCATCCGGATTCCAGAAAAGAAAAGAGCTCCGCTTCGCTGAAAATAACGCATAAATTTACTACCTACTCAATGTAATGGCTACACCAGTTTAGTTGTATAGTGAGTACATTGTGTGCAGCTTAGGATTACGTCATATTACAAAATGTACTTACAAATGCACTCTATATTGTATTCAACTGTAAATCTAAGTGATTAGTACTAGTATTTAATTTCTCTAAAGCCCGCCACACTACTCTACATTCCCCGATGCACACCGAGTGAACATGCACGCAATCTACGTTCAGTTGTTTTCAGATAGGTTCATTACGACTGAGATTTGAGTGAGTGAGTGCCGCACACTGCTACACGTAATGGTACACACTGTCACGACTGAACATCGGATTTCATTCAACTTATTATTCATCCTTTATATTCTTACTCAGTATGCAACGTGTCAAATGGCCTTTCTTTGGGACCAATCTGCTACACTTTCTGTTCATCCAAATAACCCCATATGTTGCGGATCGTAAACTGTGACGAGCATTAATACCTGCCCGTTTTAAAATAAAACTGTAAATCAGATAATATATATATAGATGTATACAGATATTATGACATTGAATAAATAAAAAATGCTCGGTTGCAACATGTTTCCATACAATCGTTTGTAATTAAGATAATACTCGCGTATTCACAGTGATTAGCGTTTTGTGAAATTTTACGTAAAGAAAATGGCAATAGAGATTCTTTCATTTCTTCTTTAATCCAAATTACATGACGAGTTTCAATTATTTAAGCTGTCCACTTGTAGCAGAACTATGAAGTAATATTTAATAATTTTAACAATGTGATAAAAAGAACGTAAAAAACGATTACCCACGAACATGTGCATATACCTCAATTTATGTTTTGTATTATGTTTATCTTGTATAATGCATATGCACATTGGTTAAACTGGCCAGTTGAACGACGTAGACTAAGTGTAAACAATGCGTAATACAAAACGCTTCGACTGCTATTACAAATGCGTTGGTTGGCATTCACAAACCTCGGCTTTTTATTACAAAACGCGTCAAAATTATTACAAAACGACTACACGTGTTGTGTTGAGATGAGTTGAGATGAGTCGGGGACGTGTTCAGTCGGACAGTGTGCAGCGGGCTTAATGCAACTACGCGCACATGTAAATGGTTTTTAGACGATAAATACAGATTGTTATATTAAAGGTCGGCAGTCGTCGCGCTGCGCTGCCACAATTCAATGCGCTCTTTTAATGGAAATCACAAGGATGAGGTGGACGCGAATTGCACTATTTATCGCCGGTGACTCCTTCGATACCTTCCAATCGTCTAAAAAATAACTAATTTAAAGCTAGGTAACGTCCCAGTTTTGTACTCGTTGATCTGCGCAGCAGTCAAAGTCGCCATCTTTGTTTATATGAGACCCATATATCTCGCGCATGCGTGACGCAACGACTACCGCCCTTTAACCGTGCATTATTACGAGTATGACAAGTACGTACGTTAGTGAAATCAATAACATAATTATAACATGTAGCTCACGTGTGGATTACGTCGAGTTCTAGTGTCCATGGAGACTCATTTGACACTAGTTAATTTCTGATGCGGAAAATGTCGATATGCATGCAACTCATGGGGTGATTTTATTGGGTTATTTCAGAATTATTTTACCCATTTGATCTCAATTAACCTCTAGCTGATGATGCAGCGATATGGTGCATTACTAATGCAACCCGTAACTGCAAGGCAAAACAATATATGATTATACAAATAGATGGCTGTCCTTCGGTCTGTCAGGTGTTATGTTGTTTGTAAGTAACTATTCATTTTTATTAGAGTGGTGTTTAAAATAAATATGTGTTGGATAAATATATAATGACAAAGGTGTTTACTATAATGACATGTTTGAGTGTTTATTCTGCGTATATATTCAACATTCATATTGATACTTGATATCATAATTGTGTCTGTATGCACAGTCAGCTGGCGCACCAGTGATAAAAAAATAAATGCGATATTTACTATATGGGAGCGCCATCTTGAATGCGGCATAAATAAGAGACAAGTTGTGAAACGCGTTTTTCAGATTCCTACAAATCAAGACAAAAATGCCAATCTTTCACAGAAAATTGTCATTCCAGCTCAGCAGCCAATCAGCGACGGCCTTATAGTTAGATGACAATTAGTAGCATACATGATTGAATGAAACCCATGTTTCCTTGACGGTAACCTCGCGCTGATTATTCCATCTTGCGCATGTTTACTTGTTCGGGAGAAGAAACAAATATAATTCTTTCTGGGCTGATTTTTTTTACCGAATTATTGTCGTTATTGTTATGTTCACCCATTGTTCGATCGACGATTTTCGAGATCTTTGTAAAAATGGAAGTTTATTTCGTTTCCATTGTAAGTGGACACACCTGGTTCTTTAGAGCACAAGGGGCGCGATATGGAGAAACTCAGTTGAAACTCGCAGATGACCCAGCGGAGCTGTTGGTATGGGGGTCTCTCCGGCGTCGTCCGTCCCGCGTCCCGGTCCCGCGTGAAGTTTTCCTTTAAACGACTTCTTCTTCAACAGTACTTGACCAATTACATTCATATTTGTACCAAAGGTACTTGGGGTGGTCCTCTGTCAGATTTGTTAAATTTGTGTCAAAATATGCAAATTTGGATTTTTAGTGAATATTTTTGTCATTTTTGGTAATTTTGTTATTTTCGATAACCAGTCCAAAACCGTGAGTCCAATTGCTTTCATATTTGCAGCAAGGATACGTTGTGTGGTCCTCTGTCAGATTTTTTGAATTCGTCTCAAAATTTGCAAATTTGGATTTTTAGTGAATATTTTTGGTAAAAAATGTTATTTTCGACAACTAGTCCGAAACCGTAAAGCCAAATGCTTTGATATTTGCAGCAAAGGTACTTGGGGGTTGTCCTCTGTCAGATTTGATAAATTTGTGTCAAAATTGGATTTTTAGTGAATGTTTTCGGTAGAGAAGGTTATTTTCGACAACTAGTCCGAAACCGTCCACCACAATGCCACTTTATTGATTTTTGTTCAATGATAATGAAGACAGCGGAGCTATTTCGACCGTCAGTTCGCTTGTTTTTAACAGTTTTGTATGAATCAGCGCGCGCTCAATAAATATACCCAAACACTTCACGATAAATTACATTGTCAATTTCTAATTTATTTGGTTATTTTTAATTACTGCAAAATAATTATTTTTAATCGCATTTAATTTCACTATTTTGAGCATATTCACTTTTAAGTTTACGAATTTGCTTGCCAACGCAACATCTTCGCCGAAGGTTGTGCATTTTTCATCACATGACAAGGAGTTTCAGAACTAACCAGTCAACATTATAGAAATATGACGTGCCGTTTTCTGTGGTGAAAGATCACTAATGTAACAGTCTAGAGTTAGACTGACGACTATTGTGCTACATGGATATGGTGCGGTCTGGGAAATGCACATGGCTACTGATACATAGTTGCCACTATAGTGTTCATGACGATGACTTTTTGTTGTTGACATAACTACTCTATTCACAAGGTGTATCACTGATAGTATCAAAAAATACACTAGTTTTGTATGTTCATAATTAAACAATCTATATTTGCATAAAAAGCATCATTTCTGGAAAACAATTAACCTCAGTTAAGGAGGGGGGGGGACTCAGTTGACGTATGGTACTGCATGACATATCTCACAAATAAATGATAATCAACAATTTAGCTTTCACCAGAGTAAATGAAAGAATGTGCACCTGATACACACTACTTACACCAGTTTCTAGATGCAATAATCTGATTATTTTGCTTCAGTGACCATTCTATAATATGAATTTATTGCCATTTGGTAGGTTGTTATACGACTCATCCTTATCTTTGATTCAGAAAGCAGAGTTCTATTACATTCACAAAAAAATAATTCAAAAATTGAAATGCAAAAGGCTTAGTTCTAAGTGTGCAACTGCACAAGTTATTAATAAAAAAGCAAAAATTAAAAAGCAGCAAATGGGGATTGACTCACTCAAACTGGAGTTATGCAAATCACAGGAAGAGAATATTAAAAGTGAGCCACTACCGATTATCAATGATGGGTCTACTAAAAGAACTTTTATTGTTGGCGATTCTATTATTAGAGATGTGAAATCAGGAAGACTGGCCAATACGGATGTAGTACCCATTAGTGGTGCAATGTTTCCGGACATTGGTATTGCAGTGAACAACATGCAGGATTGGGTCATGAAAGCAGATAATGTAGTTGTGCACTGTGGCACAAACATTGTATTATGTTATTGAGTAATGTGAAACTTGTTATAATAGATAAAATAAAATATTGCATACTTCAAATATAAGTGTCTTGCGGGAGAGTGGGTGTGAATGATGCAAGTTCGATGTCATTGTGCATGGTAGATGTCTGTTCGATGTGATAAAATAAAT